TTTGATCGATATTCTCTGAATAAACTTCTTATTGTAAGGTATTTCCATCTGATCCCGTGGTAGTTTGGTTCTGTGGGAGTCTATCTGGCAGCACATCTTCCTGGAGAGGTTTTTTTTTTCTTCTGTATTCACGCCAGTTTGAATCTCCCTCTCTGTGCGATGCAACTTCCGTTTTCAGCACCATGAACAGCGCCGTCTCTCCTCTTTTTTTTTTTTCCTCCATCGAGAGCTTATACGGCAGCTTGAGGCGGGGAGGTAAACTTTTGCCAATATCCGAGTGAAGGTTTTTATAGCCGCGTGTACGGTTTGTGCGTCTTTCTTCCCCCCCTATGATCCAGCCCAGTCCATAGCGGCTTTGAATAACTACGACCGCGACCGGGAGAGGGGAGAGGACCCCGATGTGAGATGAACATGCCCAGAGACGATTCCGCCAAACAGATCTGCCGTTATCTGCAACCGGGCTGCTGAGGGATAAATATTATTTTTTTTTTTTTTAAGCGATTATCACTATCATAAAAGAATCGAGCGACTTGCAGAGAGCCGAGAGGAAAGGACTGCTGTGCAAGGGGGGGGGACGCAAAAGGGACTCGATCTGCATGTGAGACCGCTGGTCCACACACACCGGAGGCAAGAGATGCAGCCTGCGAGCAAGCTCCTGACTCTCATTCTCCTCATCTTCATGGGCACAGAACTCACCCAAGTAGGTTTCTCTTTTTGTCTTCTTTTGTTTACGCCATCATAACCCCCTCTCTTCCTGTTTTAAAGGGAAGGCTATATACACCTCTCGGTTAATTGGCTCCAGATCGTTTCGAGAGATTACCAGGATACCTCGTAAAAAAATAAAATAAAAGGGAGCCCCGGTGAATTGGCCCCTTTAGCCCTCTTAAACAGATTAACGGGTGGGATTACATGATGATGGGAATGCATGGTGCTTGACGGGCGCGGACAGATCCAGCACAGCTCCCCCCTTCCACTTCCCCACCGCCGGGGCTGGAAAAAAAACGCACCAGATAAAGGAGGAACGGACTGCGTGATCGGTCAGTTTCCTCATTAGTAAATGGTCGTATTTGTCAATTGCAGCACTATTCCGGTGTAACGTGTTGTCTGTGCCCCCTTCTCTAAAAAAAAATCCCACTGCTGAATGATGGGGCTGCTGCTGCTCCCTCAGTGTTGTAAATCAGGGCTCCACAATCAAACGTTGTGTGCCTGAAACAGTGGAAGTGGTGTGTTTTTTTTTAGCATGCCCAATGACCACAGAGTGACTTGTCTGTGTGGAGGGAAAAGAACAATTAGTTCACAAATGGCGGGCTCCTCAGCTCAGAAGTAGCACACAATTTCCAGTCCATAACACGCATGTGTGTGATTGTTTCCTGGACCTACCTGCTATGCACACAGCACTCACAAATGCCTCATCATAAACACGAGGCTCTCATGCTTGGGAGGGTGAATTTATTTAGCACCACGGCCTGCTGCATCTGAACTGAAGACTGCTATTATTCAATTGCCTTTACTTGTGGACCAAGCCATATTTCATGGGCTCTTCCGTAAATCCAATTGTGCTTGGTAATTGCAGGAAAAAAAAAATACAAATAAAAAAAAAGTCTACTGTGGAGCAAGGGACCATCAATACATTCTGTTCCAACTGATATATCACAAGTCCCAAACTCAATAAAGCGGGTGAGAAATTGTTTGCTGCAAGCCCCACTGGTCCCGATAACCAATGTGTTGGAACAATATTGGCAGAATATTGCTTTGAGATAAATAATGCCGACAACTGATTTCCCCAAAAAATGATCGGAAAAGTCTCAGCTGCGAGAGCACAGTTGTTGTTATTGTTTTTTTTTATCATTCAGATGGAAAACCGTTTCATTTTTGAAGCGTGGTAGTCCTATCAGAGCTCCGGCTGTGAAGAGTTATTCCAGGTGTGATGATATCTTTGGAGGCAGCCTGCTCTGACCTGCAGTCTCTAACCTGAAGTGGCGAGACAATACATGACAGCTCCACTAATTGATGGAAGCCATCAGAGGGGGAGTCAGACATAGGGACCTGCTTTCACTTAGGGTTCTGTGATTTTAGGTGTGAGTCCCGCACAGTGCGTGTCAAGGCCCACATTGCAATGACAGTCTTTGTCTGATGGCCAGAGAGTGTGTGTCATGTGCGTGAAGGTAAGTCAATATTAGTCCGCAGCCCTGCCTGTCTGCTGCTTTCCACGATGAACAGAATGACACGACACACTGACAGGCTCTATTTTTTGCTAACCTCTCTCCAACATGAAGCTCCCAGTCGATTTTTCGCTGTGGGAAAAGCCAGGCATCTCCACATCTGACCGCTGACTGAAGTTAGATATAAACAGTGAGAGGTGTATCAACACACACACACACACACACAAGCACAGGGTGCCTTTCCCTATCTGATTACTCATCAGAAAACAGCCCCACAAGCGTTGACCTCTGATTTTTAAAACGGGTCCTCCCAGACCGAATCTTCCCTCAAAAGAATCACACAGGTTTGGATAGCATAAATGAGGGGCAGCTCCCTCCCCGACGTCTGACCTGCAGGGCAGTAAAGAGTCAGGAGTAGAAACACCCTCTCCTCATTCGCTCTCTCCTCAGTCATTCACTTCTGTCCCGAATCACTGAGGGATTCGCTGGTTTTACACTTTGTTCACACTGGAAAAAGGATAGTAAAAAGGCAGAGCGGCATCTGCTGCTCACCTAGCGGCTCCCCCACGGTGAGCAGGCCCACATCCTAAAGCCTCTCAGCGACACCTGACTAAACAGATGGCCCTGTTCAGGCTGCTCCTCCAACACAACGCAAGCTAATAATCATCCTGTTAACGGGCTCTTTGGGGGAAATTAGCTGGAGATGGTTTCTCAGGCTGGAGGGTGATTGCGAAGGTCCGGGCCGCCCACCGGTCCTCGCCGTTCCCGGTCGAAACGTGGCGTTTTTTGCTGTAAAGCACCATTTTGAATTTGCCGAATTTGCCGAATTTTGCGTGGTGAAGAAAGTAAATAATACATGAATTAGCGAGTCTGGTTTTGTGTGAGAAAATTGAGACAGAGTTTAACTGCATCCCAATGTGCGTGGTGTGATTGGCAGCTGGGGTTGAGGCTATTTATTATTCAGTATGGCTGGCCGAGTGACAAAGAGAGGGGGAGCGAAAGCGAGCAGAAGAGGAGTAGGTGGAGGTAGGTGCAGTTTGCAGTGCACTCTCAGGCAGGAAATGGGATTTTTTTCACTAGCTCATGAACACTTAACAGATCAACAGATACTGAAATTGACAATGGATACTCCACCGCACACACAGTGTTGTTTTTTGTAAAACATAATGTTGGTGTTAATGTTTGGTCATTGTTGTGTACCATTTGTTCAGAAAAGCCTCAGCCTTTTACCAATGCTGCAGTTCATCATTTGTTTTGTTTTTTGTTGTAAAATTATGCAGTCACAGAGCTGATAAAAATGGGTTATTTGGAATATAGACATTTCGTATCTTTGTTGTGCTAAAGGTGCAACGTTGATAGAATTACACTCAACTTACAAATTTGTGCTAGTCGGACATGGGTGACTTGTTGGTTCATGGCTTTGTCTTTCTGTGCTACACCTCATTACACAACCCCAGACCGCACAGCAGAGTGCAGCGGTGAACTGACCCGTGCCGATACCTCACAGAACCCTATCAACGTGAGCTCAAACAGGAAAGGTCACAAACTGTAAACGTGGGCCGGATAGAGGTGGGATGGAAAAGGGGAGTGAAAGGCAAGGCGATTGAAGAATGGGCATGCAATTTCCACAAACTCTCCCTCGGTCTTCTAGTTTACTAGGGATTGACATTAAGCAATATAAGAGTGGTCATAGTGATATAATACGATCTAAGGCTTTGAACAATTATTCCTAGTGTAAAAAATGGGGTTTAAAACCAAAGCATTAACTAAAAAAGCTCTTCCAACTTTAACACTCGAAATCAGATCAAAACAAATGCATTGTGAATGTTTTTTCTTCAAAAAATCTAGAAGCATAATAATGATATGTAGAATTACATATCATTATTACATACACTGTTTCTTTTTCTTAATATTCGTTATTTGACCACAGCAACTCCAAATTCAGCTACACGATGGCGCCAGAGTCACACGGATTAAAAGCTCAACCTTTGTTCGAGCCGAGGGTATTTTATTTTTTATTTTTATCCCGTCCAAAGCGCATCTTGGACCCTGTTATCTCACACTGCTTTTGCAACATGACATCCCGTGTGCGTAACGTGGTTTTTCCTGCATGAAAAGGAAAGCTTTGACCGTCAGTGTTCCAAAGAAAAGGCAGCCATGAAAGAAATGTCAGGGTTTGCTATAAATAATCTGTCAGTATCATAGTGGGCTGACCTCAGCCGCACTGCTCATTGTGCGTCCCCCCACCCCCCACCCCCCCAAGGGAACATTCTTTCTTGGACCACTACGACCGACTGAGGCGCAGTCCGGGACAGGATATTCCAAAGATCGAACCGAACTTGGCTGACATCATTGCGTCTGGCGCTGTAGAGTCGTGGCACCTCCTCTTTTCCTCCACGCATTCGGTCGGAGCCGCCTTCCAGTGGAGTCAGTAGCTCTTAATCAGCCAGCGTACGAAAGGAGGCGGACCTTTCGGGCGTGAACCAGATAGTAACGGCGAATTGGAGAGGCAGCAGTGTGCAGGACAGCGAGCGAAGAGCATCCGTCCAACGGACATTTTTCCAACCCTTTCTTCATTTTTGCGCTCTTTTACGCATCACCGGACCCCGGTTCTACAGTTTGCTTCTGTCCCGACCTTCTTGTTTCGGTTCCCCCATCTGTCGCGCCTGACAGTTGCCTCTTTTTTTTGGGAGATGTCCACGAAAAGACGAGCCGAGCCGGAGTCCCGGTTGAGACGTCAGGATGCCGTGGGATGCAACACGACTCGCGTGCCCTGTTTCCATCCGGAGTGTGTAGAATGAAGAAGGATTAAATCCGAGTCCGAGCAGAAACGCGAAGATGACGGTGCCGCTGCTGAAGATCGGGGTCGTGCTCAGCACCATGGCGATGATCACCAACTGGATGTCGCAGACCCTCCCCTCTCTGGTGGGGCTCAACACCACCAGGCTCACGGCGGCACAGGGAGGCTACCCAGACCGGAGCACAGGAGTAAGTTTCACAGATTTCCCTAAGACTGAATCGTGCAGAGTTTGGTTGTCCATAATTTAAAGTAAAGATGCTTTTGGAAGATGCGTAAAGATGCGATTGGAACTGCAAAAGACTTTGGGGGCATCAATCTTCCTCCTGCTTTTGATGCTGGAACGTTAGAATAAAGTGCAAAGAGGAAAGTTGGCGTTTTTTCTTTTAATGTATTGTTGTTTCAGGTGTTGATCCAAATTAGATGTCATCTGTGCCAGATTTGGTGTTTTTTAAAGGGGGAAACCGTCAAAGCGCTCATTAGTTCTCTTCTGAAACAGCAGCAATCTCCACGATCCTCCCCCCTGTGTGTGAATGAGGGAGGTGTTCCCAGCCAAAGCTGGGGGGGTCAAAATGAAGCATTTCGTTGATAATCTCCCGCGCTCTGTGGTTTAAAAATGGAAAATCGCAATAACACTAAAAGCGAACGATAAAAACGAATAGCCCCACGGGCTGAGGGGGAGATTCCTGCACGCAGATTTTTTTTCCCCTCTTTTTTTTTTTTCTTGTGCAGAGTGACTGAGAGCAGAAAGGTGCTCCGCTGAAATGCTTTGTCTTATCAGCGTGCCGGATGCTGGATGAGGCAGATGAGAAGCTTTCGTTGAGATTGCTCTTCTTACAGATTTTTTGATGTCACTCGATATTGATAATTGAATTGATAAGCATTGTTATCCATTTCTTTGGGTTTTTTTAAATCTCTGTGATTCGGTGATTTATAGATTTGCCAAAGTCAATTCGCAGGTTTGTAAATTGAGTGTTTTTTTTTCCACCCCCCAAAGAAAAAAAAATCCTGACGTCATGCTTCTCACATGTCAGATGTCTCTCTTTCACACACACACACACACGCACACCTTCAACCTACCCACTAAATAGTGCCTTTGATTGGCCACATTTTTCCATGATGTGGCTTACCGTGCAAAGTGGGTGGAGCCTGTGCCCAGGATGGTTCAGATGGTAATTTTGAAAAGATGTGGTCTACCAAATAAAACAAAAAAAAAACATTAGAGAGATGTGTCTGTCAGGTTTCATGGACACATTTCATATTGTCGGTTCCATTTATTTAGTCAGACATGCTTTTCTGAACCTCCTGCTTTGCTCCTCTCAGCATCACCACTGACCTTTAGTATTTTTTTGTCTGTTTGCCCGCTCCTTTCAATTAAGGTGTTGCCAGCAAACCCAGAGGAGTCGTGGCAGGTGTACAGTTCCGCCCAGGACAGTGAGGGGAGGTGTGTCTGCACTGTGGTGGCACCCCAGCAGTCCATGTGTTCACGGGATGCCCGCACCAAACAACTGAGGCAGCTGCTGGAGAAGGTAATTATCCCCCGACCGCAGTCAAAGTGACAAAACGCACAGGGTTCCCCGTTCTTACTCATTTCAGCCGTCTCGCACACAAACATATATGTGCAAAAAACATGGAGCTTAACCAGTACCTCAGACACCTTATCACCTCTTTGCCCCCTGGACAAGAATAGAAATCATGCTTTAATGAGCTCCCTGGAAACCTAAAGCATCATGGGTTGCTGTTGTACGCTGAGATTCTATTATGCTGTACACACCCAAAGCAAGATATCTGATGCAACCACGCTCAATACTCACACTGGGAGTTTAGACTACGTCATATAAACAAGTAGAGCAGATTTGCGCACTACGTAAAGAGAAAAATTGAAATTATCAAAAAAAAAAGGAAATGCATTTGACATAAGCAGAGAGGGAGCAGACATCATCAAATATTTTTATGAATGATTTGAATATTAGTAGAAAAGTTTGTGGACCGAAAGTGTTTTGAAGAAAGCAAATGTCGTAACAGTGTGCGTTCTACACTTCCAGCATGTGTTTGAGGCCCCTGACTAGTTGGCCTGATGTCAGACTTTGTGAATCACTGTGAGATGAATGCCAGCCAAAGCAACATATTGAAAGCCTGTTGCATTCTCTATATATCCAACACTTTAAAAGAAAATAAAAAAACACTTTAGCCAATAGAGAAGGTTTGGTGAATTGCACAGTCTAATGTGTGCTCATTGCATCCCAGGTCCAGAACATGACCCAGTCCATCCAGGTGCTGGACCAGCGCACGCAGAGGGACCTGCAGTATGTAGAGAAGATGGAGATTCAGCTCCGTGGTCTGGAGACCAAGTTCAGGCAGGTGGAGGAGAATCACAAGCAAAACATTGCCAAGCAATACAAGGTACGAAGTCAATTATTCAGCCATTCCCATTCCTTCATAGCTCCTCTGTAGCTCATCACTGATAGGCCGAACCATTTGTGCTTGTTGTTTCCTGTGTGAGTTTAACATTTCCCAAAACTACCATACTGCATCCCAAGAAATTTATAATGCATGAATAACTGAAGAGGTAAAGTGAATCAATACATAAATTCAACTGGCAACATCGTGACATTTAATTTGGTGAAGTAATAAGAAAAAAAAATCATTTGTCTACTTCTGAGCATCAAACTCCTAAGTGATAATATGTAAGCGATAATTTCGTCTGCAGATGTTGGTGTTGATGGGCTCTTCATTTAATAAAGCTTGAAATAAAATTAAAATGTCTTTGTTCAAAAACAAAGAAAATGGAAAAATCTTTCCTGCATGAAAAAAATAAATTTCCAGCAGTATAACGTTGCCAGGATGACTTTAAGAATGAATATTTTATATATTTTTTGGTCAAAACTTTCTTTAGGAAACTCATTAAATATAGAACAGTTTCAGAGCATTTCAATTTTTAAGAAGCATCTTCTCCTGTAGGGATATTCTGTTAGAAATCAGGCAAATAGAAGTTTCTTTGTCGTCAAGCCTCATGCACAAAGTCATACCATCTTACCTCACCCTATTCCATGTGTGAATATGTCATTTATGCATGCAGAAAAACATCATTTTGCCAACACCATGTTCAGCGCATGTGTATAACTGACTGTAACGCGTTGTGCGTGCATTAAACCAAGTGTGTGTGCCTTTGTGTGTCTGTTAGCTAGGTTAGCAAGCTTTAGCCCCTGTCAACAGTTTTGTCATTTTCTTGCTTGCAGGGCTAACTTTAAGACATGTAAAGAGAGCCACAGAGACGAAGAGGCAGGTCAATTCCAGATTCCCCTGAACTGGGCCACAGTACTGAGAGTATTTGGGCGTCAAACAGTTAATTTACCTTTTAGCACCATTAAGACTAAGAAAACCCTACCCCCCCTTCTCCCAAACCAACCCACCACTGATCTCTTCCTGCATGTTACTGCTGTTAAAGTTTTCCATCTAAAATCTTTTTCCAAGCGTAAATACATTATTATTATTATTATTATTATTATTATTATTATTATTATTATTATTATTATT